GATTAGTTATTGTTTTTTTTGGTTATTATAGATGTACGAACGTGAAAAATTATACTCAACTCATTCATTATTGTTAAATATTTGATTTTTATTATGATTAGATAATAAAATAAATAAATAACAATTAAAAATTTAACGGATCGGATCGGATATCCGCGAATATCTAAAAAAAGATATTTGATTTATAACGGATCGGATATTCGCGGATATCCTAAAAAAAGTCGGATATCCGAATTTTCGGATATTCAAAATTTACCGGATCGGATCGGATCGAAAAAACAACTATCCGTAAAAGACAGAGCGGATCGCGGATACCGGATTTTTTCCGGATATCCGCTCTGTGCCCAGGTCTATCGCAAACTAGCCAAAGCCAACTACATACTTAACACTAACCACCTCCTCGCAAGAGCAGAGCTGATGATCGTCACCAATGCTTTGTCTTGATACCAAAGCCCAACACCAAAGCATTGGGAAAATACAGTAGATGCCTCCACAACAATGAACCATCACCAAAGCAAACCCAACAGGAAGACCTAAAAAGAATCGAAGGGCCAACAACCACATCAGAAGCTAAAGGAGAAGCTCGGCAAAGAACAGCTCAACAACCAAACTCACAACGCAAATCCCAGCAAGACTAAGCCTAACCATCGCACTGATAGGAAAACCACTCGATGGCGCTAGGGTTATGTTTTGGAAACATATTGCCTCTCAAAGGCCGACTCTCGTCAAGAAAACGTTAGGAACTCAAAGAAAATGTTACTTACTGACAATGTTGGAAAACGATATCATAATGGTTTATGATATTTGAGAATAATTTACACCTTAATTACTTTTCACTTTTCAATTTTTTGTTGGACCTCTATTTATTTATCGTACAAGAAGCATCCATCGTATTTTCTTCTTCTTTTTTTGTCTTCTAAACTTGCAAACTATGTCATTGACCGTGTTTCGGCATAAATTTAATGTTCTCTCTTCACATATAAATTTTCGGGACAACATTACACATTTGTCATCCCGAATGCTCTTTTAAGTGTGCCATTGTTTTAAGATATCACAGTGAACTATTCTTGCATGTCTTTGATAGTCTATGCAATTTCGATCTGTGTTTTAAAAACATAATTTGACCATTTTTATTCGAAGAAATTCATCAACTAACTCAACGTGGAGCTCTTCACATTCAAAATTATTAATTTGCGAGTTTGTTGTTTTCTAAAAACCACTATTTATCTTTAACTATTGATCGACAGATTTTAATATTGATATCAAACATATAACTTTAATAGAAATTTATTTTTATTTTATTTTTAGTAGAAAATGATAAAACTAAAATCTTGTTTTCTACATTTTATAAAAACCTGCGGTAGCAAAATGAGTTTTTGAAAACTTTTAAGCTAAAAAGTAGTCCTTTCAAAGGTCTAAACAAGCACTCATTACTATTTTTTTCTATGATCGATACTACTTTTTACTAGTTAATGTCTTGGAGGAATAATCTGACCTTAGTTATGAAGATAAGACATTTTGGTTAAACCAAATGGAACTGACTAAAACCGGAATTAGAAAAACTAATAGAGCTCAATTTGATTTAATATGTCTGACCTCTTCGACCATCTTTATTATTTGGATACTTTATTACTTTATGTTGATGTGTTCCTAAATTATAACCTTACAATTATATTAAGCTTTTGTTATCATTATCTTGTAGGTGGAGTCATGAATCAACATAAATTGCCTCAATAATAACAATTATTCAATTAAAAAAAAAAAAACAAACCTGCCGGACGTTTTTTAGATATATGTTTAGAAATGATTATGATAATTTAATTTTATTTTAATAAATTTATTATTTTTTTAATGTGTTTGATATAGATATAAATCAATTGTTAGGATATAGAAGAGATCATATTGAATACACATCATAATTTTTTGGAATCTTTAAACTCGATCCTCTAGATTTCTAGCGGATTTGAGATGCAAATGAATTCTGTAACATACTCGTAGAAAAATCAAAGATGTGGTAGCCTAATGGTAACATAAGGGGATTGATATCTTTGTACTCCGGGTTCAAATTTCCTTTGGTACGAAGGATTATTCTTTAAATCGGAATATCCAAATGCTGTTTTTGGGTACCGAAAAGATTATGAGCCAAAGGTTCAAAACCCTCACGGTTTATCCAAAACAAAAAATATACTTGTAGAAAATACCTTAGCAATATTATATGTTTAAATATATTTCATTATTATAACTATGTCCAATCTGACTTTTTTAATCTGAAAGATTTAGATCTTTTCGCCCATAACGTTTTTTTAACCACATGTCAACATTGATCATATTTGTAGTGGATCTTCTTCCAAATATATTAGACTCAAATTCGGATCACTAACATTGAAACAATATAATTTAATCCCTTGAACTAATTGAGGTTATAAATTAGGTTATATATATACTCAACTCATAGATTTCTAACGTATTTGATGATGTCAAATGGAATGTTGAACATACGAAAATGACTTAGCTATAATGTATGTTTAAATCTATTTACTTATTATAAATTTGACAACTCTTTATATAGAGTATAAATAATAAACTTTCTTCTTCCTTCAACAACAATAATAAGTTATTTTAGATTTATGTGACTATGTATTTCGTTGTTTATATACAGTTGGTTGATTTGTATGATTATTTACCATTTACTCACCAAAAGAATAATTTGTCTAACAAAATCTTTTTTTTAGGTCATCAAAAGATTCCTTCTGTTTATGACATACTGAAAAAAGTAACAAAAACATAGATGCATAATAAATGCATATAAAATGGTTTTATTAAAATTCAAAATATGTTGTGATTGGTGAATTCAATGTTGTGGATATATTAGTTAAATGGAAAAGATAAAATACCAAAGCTAGATCAGGGTAGATCAGTTGCTTTATAAAAAAAGGGAAAATAAAGTATTGTTTTTTTCTATA